TTAGGTGGAGAAATGTGAAGTCCTCGGGACCGAGCGCCAAAGGATGTTTGCCGTTAAGTGAGAAATGCACAAGGTGCGATCAGTATTGAGTGTGATTAAAATGAAATACCATCGAAAAAAAAAACAAATCATCAATGGGAATGTTCAACAGGCAGACAAAGTGACAACGGGAACGAAGACAGCACACACATTGACCTCATTGAGACCTGTGTCTAAATGACTTTGCTTATAATTTATTCCTCGTTTAATTTTTTCTTTCAGACCGCATAATTAGCGGTGTAAGAGTCCGACTTTGCAGTCAGCATCACGAGATAAATGTGTACAATGCACCTTGACATAAACTATGTTTGTGCTCACACTGAATCGGCGATCAAATCAATGGGAGCGATGATTTTGACAACGTACACACAGAAGACGAAGGAAAAAAAAATCAAATGAAAATTATGAGAATTTTTTTCAGAAAATAAGAAGAAGAAGAAGAAAATACGTGCTAATGCTTCTGCCTGAATCTCTTTTCTCTGTTTGTGCCCCATGCTGTCAAGCAATGCAAATATAAACCGTAAATTTTATGGCGTTTGACATGCTGACGATGCGCTCACGATACGGACACACATTGAATCGATTAAAGCAGCAAGAAGAAATAAAAAGAACAACGCTGTGATTGATGCCAGTCAACGATTTTGTTTATAATAATACGAACGATTAAACATTGTTTGAATTTTGATGTCTTCGGAATCTGCTCAATAAATCGCTTGAATGAATCAAATGCAACGCATTGCATAGTGAGATAGAGATAATGACAGGGCTTTTAAACTGTTCAATTACATTTAATTACATCACATTCATGATCAAAGCCTATCATTTATTCATGCACATAATAATACAGTAATTATTCTTGTTTGTTGTGTGTTTATATTTAAAAGAAAAACAGTTCAGGAACGTTGCCTGGTTTTTATTTGCAGCACACAGACTGTACTCAGCACACTGCGCTTTTTTCTTTCGTTAAATTTGCTTCAATTTGTAGGGTAATCACTACACCGTGTTCAACGCGGCCAATTTATACCAGATTTGAGCCGTGTTTCTTAGCACACACGGTGTGAAATTGTGGAAATTAAAAGATTTGTATCACTTACAATGTGTTGCTCTAATTTATAATGAATGGTCGGGCTGAGGCTGACGATCCGATTGAGGTGAGGCTTCGGGATGTGCATGGGTGTGTTGGGTGTCGATGTGGAAATACTTTTGATTTGTGTCAATATTGGCAGGTGATGATCTGTGTGTGAGAGAAAGAGAAACGGCATCGCTAATCAATTGAGTGTGTTTTTGTGTGTGTGAGATGAAGTTGAATGGTGGAAATTTTCGTACCATGCGATTGTGCATCAAGTCGACTGGAATTAAGTTCGTTGATTCGCTTTTTGAAGTCATTCTCGAATTTTGAATATGATAGAAAATTGTCTAGCTGTACACCGTTTGATTCAATGGCACAAGCGATATCGTCGTTGTCTTTAGCACTTTTATCTTCTTCCATGTGTATTTCGATGCTTGGTTTTCTCGTTGATTTCTTATCGACATCGATAGCGACAGCAGCAGCGGTAGCATTGGCGGATGCCATCATAACATCTGTGGGCGATTTACCATTTGCGATGCTCATTCGCTTATTCTTGTCTAATTTCTCAATGACACTTTTTACACGATTCATGTCGCATACTTCGGCAGCATGTTCACTATTCGACGGGCCGTCGCTATTTGTGATGATGTCGACGTTCGACGGTAATTGGCCCGAATGATTGCAGTTATCAATCATTCGCTTAACAAATGAGCCGGACTTTTTATTACCCGGATCTGTTTGATTTAATTTCGCTTGGTTTTTTGTCTCGGCAATTTGTTCTATCGTTGGAATCGACAATCGTAGCGATGGCTTTCCAATGGCCGTTCGTCGTGGCGATGACGACAAATGATTATTCATATCGTCCATTTTTCGAGCGATTCCATTTTGATTAACGGTTGTTGTGGTTGCTGATGCTTGTGCCATTTTTCTTTTTCCAATATGTCTTTTATGTGTCCCAGTTCAATATCTCTCTGAATGTTTGCGCTCTTTTTTTCTGTTCACTACGCTAATTGGCCATTTCACCGCACAAACTCTCTATCTGCGAAGATTTAGATAACATGAAAGCCACAAAACGTTAATTACTGTCACGGAATATTAAATTTGTTCATTTATTTACTTCTATCATTTTAGTTATATGTTCAACAGTTTCATTTTTTTTTTCTTCTCAATGAACCCGAATAAACAATTTGCGTTCCATTAGAAATGGGCCAATGGGTCATTTCAAATAGTCGAATACGTTATCTCATGATTCGTGATAGTGATGAATGCATTTGTCTAAGATAGTTTCATTGAAAATTCGTTTAAAGTTCAGCATTTCATTTTATCAGTGTGTGTTTACAATTGATAAATCGACTAAGGAATGTGTAATTTAGAAGAAATCGATTGTCATGACGTGCACTTTGTGACGGAATGCGTAAAAAGCGTGCATTTGATTTATATGCACCAATCCAATATCAACAGATGAAAGTTCATGCAACTCCATTGCCACCACCCGCGTTTAATAACATCACAAAATGAATAATAATAAATCAAAACAATATTATAAAAATTAAGTAATGCGTAGCGATGCGTTCGTTTGTTCAAGCCAAGTCAATGAAATGTGCCAAAAGCGGACAGAGAAAACAAAAATTCCCTCGACTCATATGAATTTCATGATTTGTTTTGTTTTGTTTGTGCATATTTTTTTCAGAATCGTTACACGCACAGTCACACAGTCACAGAAAATTCGAAAATTGTCAACAGAAGGCGAGAAAGAGCGAGCGAGAGAGAGGTGGAAAAAAGTGCGACACTTTTCGTTTGATAATTTTATTCCGAAATAAAACAACACAATGCCGTACATACTTTATATAAACAACAACATATGTTGCGCATGAAATAAAACTCGAAATAATATTTGCGTAACGCTCGAAAAGAGACAAACTAACCAAAGCGACCGATCAATCGTCTAGAATGGCAAATAAAAACTGGGAATCGATACAATAATATCGATTGAAAACTATTGTAAAATGATCGGTGCTAGACTCTATAGCTTTTTGTTGTCTATGTGTTGTCGGTGTGTTAAAACGAACGAATGAAAGAAGAAGAAGAGAAAAAAAAGAGTAAGATTTGTTGTTCCGTTTGATCGTATGATGGGATTGGTGCTTGGTGTATTTATATTTTGGCCACAATAACAATAATAATAACACTGAACTTGTATCGAAGCAGAAAAATGAATAATATTTTTTGTTTTTGAACTCAATTTCACCTTTTATTTTGCATTCCAAAACTGTACTTGCTCCAAAAATGCTTCCGTCAATTGTCAGCCGTGTATGTTCGGTTGATAAAAACGTTGGTGTATTTTATTATCTATCTTTGTTGTTTTTTCCCTTTGGGTTTTCCACATACACTAAATATTTTCGGTACCCGCAATGAATGGGTATGGAACGTGAAATTCTTTGTTCTGAATTTGGTTTCAATTTGGTTTGTACGAACGTTGTTGTGTTTGTTTCTTTTCGGTCACAAATTCCGTCTGAATTTTTTCGTCGATCAATCAAAAGCGGATTTGAACATTTCAAACTTTCTTTCTATTAATAAATGTACACACACGAATGATTCCGATGTAGATATGCGGCCGTTCCATTCTGTGGCACATCACTTTGCTCACTTTTTTCCCTGCTGATATCGCTGCGGACTGATCGATGTGTGTTCCATTTCATCCAAACAAATTTACGGGAAAAAACGGATTTTTTTCTTCATTCTATCGTTCACACAAAGATATAAAACGTGCCAAAAAAGACGTACAAATTTGTATATAAATATATTAAACACGGTAGACACGATGAGAAATGAACGCCAGCCAGAAAGGTCGTGTCTCGCTCATTCGAAAGTATAATTTCAACTGAAAATTATTTTCGAACAACAGAAGAGCAAAAAAAAAACAGTAACAACATTAAAATGTTTCGGTTTTCTGTAATCGGTGTTTTTGAGAGACGAAACGATCGGTTTGCTTGTGCTCTTTCTCTCTCGCTCGCTTGCTCTGTTTTTGTGTGTGTTGTCGTCCAAAATCGGTTATACTAATAGCTGTTATTATTGTTGGTTTTCGTTCACGCCTCACACATTCGGCTTCAACACACTTAGCCCGATTTTAAGTTGTGTGTGGCGAAGTGTAGTTGTACGCTTATATCTC